TAATCACAATACAGTGCAGTGCAGAAAAAGAGTAATCAACATGACGATGACGATGACGATGACGAAAGAGAAGGAGAGGAATGGCACCTTGTCGATGTGACCGTTGCCATCCATGAGGATGTGCTTGGGGATCACCTTCTCGCCCTCGACAAAGTACACTGGCAGCCCGAAGTCAGTTCACTCATTACACCAACCGCGAGGTGCGGATGGGAGTGCACTGGTGGTGGGTGGTGGTGGTGGCCTACCGATGCCGGTGCGATCGTCAAAGGTAAGGAGCTGCTCGTTGAAGTAGGCCAGCTCCGACAGCTCCATTCCTCGAGATCCGTCGTTGAACACCGACGTAACATCCATCTGGTGGGTTGGGTTGCGTTGGGTTGGGTTGCGTTGCGTTGAAACGAACACAGGCGGGTGGGTACGTACCTCGCTATCCCAGGCGATGGTGTACTTCTTGGTCTCGGGGGTTGCGCGTGAGCGTGCCGCTCTTCAGCGTGCTGCGCCACTTCTTGTCGTCCTGTTTTGTGTTGTACAATGGATCAGTTTTCGCGCATCAATGCGCATGAGTGCGGGAGAGGAAGAGGCGGTACAGTCTTGGAGGCCTTGTCCATGTCGGCAACGATGGTGATGGAGTAGTGCGTTGATGACGGCTTGTACTTGTGGTACGCCTGTGGCCATGCCAAAGTGAAGTGGATGGGTGAGAATAATCTTAGGATGATGGCCAGAACTGCAGGAAACGCGCACCTGCTGAAGAGGGTAGCGGAGGTGAGCCTCGAGTGGAGAGTCCTTCAGGCCACGCGAGTGGGGCGAGGCGCCGGTGCCATCGGTCAGGACAGCAGGGTTGAAGTAGAGAAGGGCGCCCACGAAGAGGAACACCACGACGAGGCCCACAACAACCTGTGCGCCAAAGATGAAGAGTCAAGATGGCCCAACAGACAAAAAAGAAAAAAGGGGGTGGGCACCTGCTTGTGCCGAGAGTGGAGCTGAGAGAAAGGACCCATTCTGCTGAAAAAACGCTTGGGAGGAGGCGACTGTGGTTCGTAAGCGTAGCCGTAGTAGCCAGCACCTCTCGCTGAGTTGTTGGAAAGCTCAGCAAACATCAATCACGGTTTGGTGATTTATGGTCCACTCGTTCAGATCAACGAGCGATGGTTTCAGCAGATCGAAGCCAGACCTCCTAGGGAGAACAATGCGCCCGCTGCGTCCGATCTGAATCGATGCGCGAACAGAAAATCGTGCTACGTGCCCCGTCAGCAAGGAAGCTGCAAAGTCCGAGCGCATATCTCACATAACTCGAATTTTCCTCGCGGAGTTCGCCGAGTTGAATTTTCCCGAGAGCCTTCGATTTGTGCAAATTCCCCGTGTAACGAGAAAGCGAGACGAGAGGCGCCCAACTTTTCGTCCGCCACCACTCCCGCCTTCAAGACGGCGGGATTGCAAACTCAGTTCGATCTGTCCGCGGCGACCTTCGTCTCATCATCCGCTCCTCATCGCATGCGACAACCCGCGCCGAGCGTTTGAATTTTTGATCTTCCGAATTGGATCGATAGCGCAGGCTTGTTCCTTCTTCTCCCCTCCTCCTCGTCTCTCTTGCAACATGGGACCTCCTCCATTGAATGACGCGGCCGATGACTCAAAGCATACGAAACATCAATTGTCGTGCCTTATGCGATGGTGGCCTCGATGGACAGCGAGGACGTGGCTTAAAATCATCGTATCTGTCATCGGTGGCGCGGGGCTTTGCGCATTCTTCTACTGGTTCTCGGCCACGGGCTACCTCGCCGTCTTCCTCGAGTGGGTGAAGAAGATTGGCTACTGGGGCAATGTGCTCTTCGTCGTCGCCTTCACCCTCACCGGTCTCCCCTTCATGCTCATCGGTTACACGCCTCTCGGCCTCGCGGCGGGCTTCATCTACGGTCAAGACGGAATTGTCCTTGGTGCGTAGAACCCCGTCAGTTCTGTTGAACCTCCCTTGCATCAATCTCAGGAGAAGCCAAACGCTCCGAAATCTTTGTTCTACACATTACAGTAATGGATTGATTGATTAATTCTCATTTCTTTTTTTGTGTTGTGCAGGAATCTTGAATGCCTCGGTGACCGTGCTGATTGGGACCATCACGGGGTCCATCCTCGGGTTCTGGTCGTGCCGCGTGCTGTGCAAGGGCTGGTTCCAGCGAAAGATCAACGAGAGCCCCACCCTCCAGGCCTTCATGCACACCATGGAGTCGAAGGGTTTCTACCTCATCCTCATCATGCGCATGGCCCCCATCCCGTTCGGCGTGCAGAACGGCCTCTTCTCGGTACTGCCGCTCGCTTCTTTCTCCACACACACGACACACACGACACACACGACACGCACACAACCATGCTCACACACGCTCTGCGGCATACAGGTATCGAATGTGTCCGTGCTGTCGTTTTCCGTCGCCACCATTGTCGGCCTGGTCCCAGAGATTTTGATGTTGGTCTACATGGGCACCACCATGGCCACCTCACCTCCATCG